CTGTGAGCCGCACGGCGCTGGCTGCCTGTCTCAGCGCAATGGGTGACTGCTGGGTCAGGTCCCCGCGTCCCTGGGGACACTGTGGCCCCGCCGGCAGCAGCTTTCCTCGCCATTTAACCCCCTTCTTGCCCACCTTCGCTGCAGGGATGTGCAAACCCCCCGCACCTTCGCCCACCCCACCAAAGGACCCGCGAGAGGGATGCGAGATTTGGGGCACCAGCACCCCCAGCCCATCCTCCCGGTGCTCCCCACAGCGGCTGAGACATCAGTCTCACACGGGAAGTCACAAGACACATTTTGCAATTATTTTTTTTCCCATTTCTATTTTTTTTCCCCCTTTTCCAGAGGCCAAGGCAGTTTTTCCTCCTTCTCCTGCTCCTCTCTCCAGCCACGCTCTATCCCTCCAGCCAGGATGCTCGCCAGGCTGGCCGGAGCGCGTCCTCTCCTCTGCCGTGTAAACAGTACAAAACAGGCAGAACAAAAATAAACAGGCAGGAACCGTCACAGGCAGCTATTTTAAGTTAAAAACAAAAGACCAACAACCAGGTGGTTTTTTCTTTTAAGCTCCCGCTAAGCATCCCGTGGGTACCCAGGCTGCCTGTCTACCCTCGTCATTTGAACCTAAACCACAACTTGCCGCCAGCCAAAACCAAAAAGCAAATAGACAAATAAAAAAATTACAATATAAAAGATCAACATTGCCAGGTAACTTAGACTCTCATGAAATGTGCAGTTTAACCAGTCCCCGGTTTTCCGTCCCACTCTGGGCTCAGCGGGTTGCATTTCAGATTTACCGTCCAGAGGGAAACGGCAAAGCCGCCATCTCCCTTTTCCCAAACTCAGCAATCGGGCAATCCAAATAAAATCCAAATCAAGGGAAGAGCCCTGTGCCAGGGCCAAGGACCTGGGGGCTGCGGGGGGCTCTGGGTGTCCCCATGCCCAAGGATGGGGGACCCAGCTTGAGGGACCCCTTATGCCTGCAGGCATGCCCCAGCGTGCACGGCCCCCCCATTTTACAGCTGCTCCCTTTGCAAAACACCCATTTTCAGCCCCAAATCCCTGTGGAGGGGAGAAGCCGAGCACGCCCCGGAGCGGAAAGCGCAGGGGGGATGTGCCCGTCCCGAGGGGATGCCCACGGTCCCCAGGGCACAGTCACCGTGCACCCAGTTCCCACGGCCGGCAGCCTCCCTGGGTGCCGCGGGGCGGCC